GGTTTGTTCTTGTTCATCAGGTGACTTTGTCCTTGTAGGGCATATCCAATCATTTTGTCAAAAAGATAATCACACGTGTCACATGCCTCCTGTCACTCGTGTATCCTCTGCGAAACTCCTACTTGTCCTTCTCCGTGGTATGTCTCGTTGGCAATTAGAATCGCAAGATTTTTTCCAAACACAAGAGGGTGAATGGAGGGTCGGACGTCATTAACTTTGAAGCAGTATAATGCATTCTGTACTTCCTTACGCAAAGTGTCAACAAAATTAAGATGACAGTGGCACTTTATTCTCATTGCTTTCCCTTCTTGCAGTATCCATAGAGCCAAGTTACGCCCACTTCGATTCCCGGACTTTTTTCTTTGCATTTTTTTTTTATTTTTATTTTTTTTTTGTGTGGCTTTAGTCGGAATTCACCTTCTGAAACTTGCCGCGCTGCATATGAAATGTATATAGTGTTTTAAGTTTATATCTTCTAGTGCAAGGGCTACGTACTGTTCGGCGCTTTAAAATGGTTCGCAGCAATATTGGTATTTGCAGTTTTACCCCAAGTGTAATAAAAATTTACTAGTTTCAGTTTGCTACTTGTCAGGTCCAGGTCGACTGAAGATCAAAGTACTTCTTCAGCTTTGACGAAGTCACTTTCTTGATTGTCTCTTACTGCTCGCCCATGTTGGAAGTGCCCTTTATTGAGCTCCTGGAACTTTTTGAAAATATTTGACAAATGTAACCCAAGGGATTTATCAGAAATACTATCACAAAACATTTGCAAATCATTATCGTGCTCGATTAACGCCTAGGTCACTGGTATGAAAGGCACATTATAAGCGATGATGGTCTTGGCTTTAATTTTATGACGACTTGCAGTGGAAATACAATATTTTCCATGATGATTGAAACTCCTTGGAAATGCTAACACGTTGGTCCTCTCACAGGGTGTCAATGAGATATTTGCCAAGTATGAAACAATGTGGAATGGTGTTTCATGGAACCACCCCTTAAGCTTCTCGAGGCCATCCCTGAATTATGTTGTTGCCACGCCGTACATATATTGAATGGTTAAAGCTTTATATTTAGATAGGTTTATGTAAATATGATCAGCCAAATGTTCTAATGTTCTGTATATTCTGATTTCTATAATGATCTTTTTCATTTGAAAGTACTTTTGATACCCGCACGAAAACGAAGTAGGTACTCCAGCGCAGTAGACTACTGCAATCATACTGCAAACATGCATCAAATCTGCTTCTATGTGGGAGCTAATTAGCATATTTGAAACATGCTTCTATCATGCTGCTAATCTACTGCATTAATGCTCCTCCTCTGTACAACCCTATGTAACTTTTGAAGTAGAATTGCAGTAGGCTATACTGCATTTCTACTGCAAATATACTCCACACCACTACTACTGCGTTAATGCTTCTTTGCTACTTCGATACTACTGCATTTCCGTGCGGGTAAACACAATGGAATCCGTATCGATTTTGCATTGACAAATACACAGGCCGCTAAAGGCTATAAGAAAGACCTTTTGCTGATATCAACAGGTGTCGTGTCGACAAATAGACAGGCCACTTTAGTTTTCAATTTTTATACCAGTAAGTAGGTCAGAAAAATACACTTTGAGTCTAGGGCCCAGTAAAGACATCGATCAGTTCACGTACGTTCTGTTGTTTAAAATCCCTGACATCAATATCAAGCAATTTTTTCAGTTACAACCCGTGGTATTTATTATCCAAAAAATCTTAAATTATATATCTTTGCTCACTAAAAGTGATTAAAAAAGAGTGCGTGTTAATATTATTTTCTTTTCATATTAATTAATTACTGCCCTCCCAAAATTTACAAAGGAAAACTGATGATTTTAACGTTGTTTAAAATCTACTTACCATAAAAACTGTACTCTAATTATTAACATTCTATCATTAATATATTTCAGTTCATTTGTGTTGAATGCGGATGTTTTTAACCGAATGCACCCAAGAAATTTCGTCAAGACACATTTTACAAAGTAGCCATATCGCGCGGTTACCAGAGGTCGGCCACACACGGAATGACTTAATGAAGCAAGTAACAGCATCTGGTTTGTTGTTGTTCATCAGGTGACATTGTCCTAGTAGGGCATATCCAATCATTTTCTCGAAACTTTGATCACACTTGTCACATGCCTCCTGTAACTCGCGTATCCTCTGCGAGACTATCTCCCGTCTTCCCATGTGGCATGTCTCCATGCCAATTAGAATTGCAAGAAATTTCCCAACAATAACAGGGTGATTGGACGGTATTTGAAACGAGTCGAAACCGGATATTACGTACTGTAATTCCTTAGGCAAAGTGCAGATATAATCTGGTGGATAACAAAAAGGAAAGTGAAACTTGCGCTCTTGCAATATCCAGAGAGCCAAATTCCGTCCTCTTTTATTCCCAGACTCCTGTCTTAGTAAAGCTTCTACTTCAGCGTACCGCTTGTGTAGTGAGATGGATTCATTCGGCAAAGCATTTAAAAGAACAAAGGAACTGTAATGTTTTAAGCTGTTGTCATTTAGTGCAAGGTGTAAGTACTTTTCGGCGCTTTCAAAATGGTTGGCAGCATTGGTATTTGCAGATTTACCCCAAGTGTAATAAAAATTTGCTAGTTTTAGTTTGCTACTTGTCATGTCCAAGTCAACCGAAGATAGAAGTAGTTCTTCAATTTCGATTAAGTCGATTTCTTGGTTGTCCCTTAAGGCGCGCACATGTCTGTAGCATCCTTTAATTTGCTGCTGTAGCATTCCGAGAACCGGTGACAAATGTCGCCCGAGGGTTTTATCAGAAATGCCCTCACAAAACATTTGCATAACATTTTCTTGTTCGATTAACGCCTCGGTTACTCGTATGAAAGGCAATGAGTATAAAAGGCAATTCAAACGGATGGGACCTGCAGCCAATCTTGCTGGTGGCTTTAATTTTATGATGACTTGGGCAAGATTTTTCGTGATGATTGACAACTCCTTGGACATTCTGACACGCTGGCTCTCTGACAACATGTCGATAAGATTATTGCCAGGTATGAAATAATGGGGTAGATGCCCCTTGCTAAACCATCTGAACAACTTCTTGAGGCACTGCCGTATACGTTGAAGAAGCTTGTCGCTACGCCACATCTCGCGAGAAGTTTCGTGGACCATCCACAACATCAGCGTCTTAAAGTGATATGATGTGAGGTTTTCCTGATGCCCCGTTTTCTTTTCGATCAAATTTTTAATGTATTTCAGAATAAACTGAACCCTGTGTTGAGTCTCATTAAACGATCGCACGAGGGTCTTTTCAGCCAAAACAGTTGACAATCTCCACTCGTATCTTTGACAATCAGGTGCACTGTTTTTGTGACCTACCGGAACAACATGACAGCCGTCTTCTATAATAGTGGTGATATTTTTGTCTGATGGCCACCCATGAGTCCTCTCTCTGTGGAACCATTCCTGTACACAGTCTGGCAAGCGGTCCACCACAGGAAAAGCTATTACTGAGTCATATTTGAATTCCTTACCCTCGAATTCTGGTAGCATATGGCCAGTATATTGTGGAGGATGTTTCTGAATAAAGCGTGAGGAGGGGCCATGTATCTCAGTACTGCTTGCGATCTCAACTAACACATTCGTGGAGCCGAACACTTTCTTATTGAAAAAATCATTGCGTTGTTTTATTTATTATTTTTTATCAGAAAGTAATGTGTGACTGATTAGATAAAATTTCGACCTATTGTCAGCTCCTTATTACACATTATAACCAACGGCTGCTCAACTGGAAATAGTCTCTGTTGTCAGGATGAAATATTTAGCAATATCACCATTCTCTACGATTTTTTTTTATGATATCCAATTGCATTGACTTATCTGAATTAAAACAGAAGTCAGGCTTTAAAGGCTTTTACTGTCTCTTTCTCTCTCTCTCTCTCTCTCTCTTTATAACTATAATTATTATTATAATTACAATAACCAGGGTATTGAATAAAAAATGGAAATTGATGAAATAACATGAAACAAAATAAGACAAGAAAATCTAACTGATACAAATACAACGGTAAAATATCTCCATCCCTGCGTCCTAGTAAATTATAGTTCATATTTAAATTTTCCAATGTTATCGTATACTGTTTCTTTTTAATCATATACATTTCCATTTGACTTGATATTCAATTCACCGGTGTGCTATTTATCCTTGCCCCCCCCCCCCCCACCCCTCCACACACACACACACCCACCACAACTCATACCCCATTTGGCAGACTCTTATATTTTCATCAACGCATACATGCCGTATATATATTATTATTATATTTCGGCACGCAGCTGTCAAATCCTAACACGTCACGTTCCCCTTTCACTTCGTTGACAACGTGCTAGTTTCTATGTATTCTCAACACATTGTTCTCGATTCAAAACTCGCTCTCTCTGTTGACGCTTTAAATTACGGGCCCTCGGTCTTTGGTTATGGCCACATAAACAAGCAAACAATGTGCATTCTGGCACAATAACACCTCTCAGGCGGTCAAGGGTCAGAACACTATGCACACACGCGGCTGTGAAAAAGACGGCTCGGACTGTATTACGTGTGGAACAATACCCGAACAACTTTTCTTTTCACCTGTACAAAAATATTACGGTACCTGTGCGCCACTTGATACCGTGATAAGGTGTTCAGGTTCGGTGATATACGAACGCTCTTAACCAAATCTCCGCTGTGAAGAGTACCTGTGCACCGAGGACCGTTGGAGCGAGTCAATATTTGAAGGATTTTTAATTTCATCCCATTGATCATCCAAAGAACACTTGTTGACACTGCTCGGCGGTTGCGGTACCCAGGGAATTGCTTAATTTCCTGCTCAAGTCGCCGGAAGATCTGGTAATTGACTGTGGGTTTACATATCCTGTGTACACACGATCTTTCTTTTCTTCGAATCCCGGATCTCGAGTGCCGACAACGACAGACATTATGACAGCGGACGGCAGTGACACCACATGTTGGCTGACTTGAAGAACGTGACGACGCCTGTCATCAAGTTAACATCCTCGTCCTACATGCGCCTCCGGGATAGCAGTATCCAGGTAAGCTTTCTTGCCGAGCTACCCTGAGTTTCATGCTACGAGATGGTGACCACAGGAATTTGTTTGTATGGTAAACACCCGATTTTAACCAGAAAAACCTGGATGTTGAGTAACTTTGTATTAATTGTTCTAGGCAAATGTGGAAACCCAAGAGAAATTGGCTGGAAGAAAACGTGATCAATTATTTTGTCCGAAAAAAAACATATATTACATCAACCGATTTATCGGTATAAATAAGTGTTGGTTGACCTGTAAATCAAAAGTAATTTAGGACCCACAGGAACTAACCCACATGCGTCCTCACACACACAACGTTTGCACACACACGCGAGCGCGCGTGCACACCTTCACACATAAACATAGACATAGCACCTACACGTACGCACGCACACACATACACGTACAAAATAACAGAAACGACGAAAAAATAAATGTATCTAAGAACACACACATGCACGCATGCTGGCACACACACACACACACATACACACACACACACACACATTATGTTAAATCAGTCAAAATTAAACTCCACTGGAGACGGTTCTTTGCTGGACTCTTTTTCTAAAGTGTTAAGGTATGGCTATAGCTTCTGTAAAGCTTATCTAAGCTATAAATCATGCACTAGAACGTAACCGTCTGTGTTTCATGTAAACTTTAAGTGTAATGGTTTGAAATAAAAGTGATATACCGGGGAGGGTTTTTTCCTCAAATAAAGCGATAATGACACCAATACAATGTCTTTAGCGGACACAGTATTTTAGGTCTTTTTCAATTTCTCTTAACAAGAAATTCCTCGTGTTTCTGTTAAGGGGCTGAATATCCCCTAATGGGACACAATCGTTAAGTTGGTGTGATAACGCGGGCGATAAAAAACCCTGTATCAACAAAACGCCAATGTTCTCCTTGACGATTACATAGCCGCTAATCTGGGGGATACCGAATAATCTACAAATGCAATGAGCACAGCCGTGTTTGTGATTTAAAATAAATAAATAAATAAATGATGGTGAGCATGACAAGACATGACATTACAAGCCCCTCAGGAATTAACAACTTGCACGGGGTGGGGGTGGGGCTAGTAAAGCGTTTTTTTTTTAAATTTATTTCTTCGAATAGTTAGATGCACGGATGAGTAGGCGTACTTGGTCACAAGTATTTGGAACGTATATTCCTTGAGATTTTGGTCAATTTTTATCAATCAAACTCTCTCTCTCTCTCTCTCTCTCTCAATCTAATCTTCCTCCATCTAGACGCTGCAAAGCCAAGAACCCTCGAACAAATCACCAAGTCTCAAATAAATGTGTCCGAATATCAAGTTGTTTGTCTACCTAATCCAACGTCACTTAACCCTGTTTACCTGAGGATGGCAATGACCTTACTATAACACCCCTTTGCATCATTTCTGCCTGGAGCAAAAGCAAATCGTGACGTAATGGTGTGTACGTTGGTCACATTTGCGTACTGATTCGTATTCGGAATAAAAGCAGACTCATGTTTTTCACATTCCCGTGGGGTGACCTCTTTATGATGTGTTATTTTAGCAAGAAGTTTAGGCCTGCTTTTAGGACCATATGCCTACTTTGCATGGCTGATTTTATGTCTTAATTAAGTTGAATAATGGTTCATTTTATATGTTTGCGCATCTTTGGGGATACATTGTGCAACGCAAAACAGTTATCATAGTTTCTGGTTATTTCAACACTCCACCCCCATAAAACCAATAGTAATATGTTAAATAAATAAATAAATAAAATCAGGATACAAAACATCACCCTTTCCGTTTAAAACGCTCTGACTAAAACGTTTATGGTTACACTGGCGGATCTAAGCTGTAGAATTTTCCCTTTTCTTCTCTTCTTCACCTCTCCCCCCCCCCCCTCCAAAAAAATTAATAATAGATAAATAAAAGAGTAATCTAAAAAACAAGCAAATGGTTTTGTAGATGTAAAAATTAGCGAATTTAAATATGTATGCTTTGCGATGTCAAAGATGAGTTATCAAACAGATGCGCCGTCCAGTCAAGTCGATGTACATTGTAACCCTTAAGTATTATTTTCTACTAATCTTCTGAGAATACTCATCAAAAAACGTTAGAGAACTGAGTACATCATGCATAGATTTACAATAAGGAGGGTTGTGATTAATCTAAATTATTAATACGATATCTAAACGAGTCAGCTTTATCACAAATGTCAACAACGGCGACAAATCTCTTTATAATAGGTCTGCTAAGCAAATCATTAAAATATATGTATTTGCTCTCGGGTTGAATGGGTATTTGTATCCATCGATCACCATTGTGCTGTTAGAATGAAGCAGAGATTTCTATATCATTTTTCTAATGGGAGGTATGCCTGGGCCTCCGTTCATCGTTGCAACGTCCTTGGTTCTGCTTTTCAAGTAGAGAACCATATTGTTATGCCTTGTAATGCAAACGCAGATAAAATGGGGCGATTTTCTCGCCTTTTGTACTTCGTTCTTTTATGTAAACGATTTCTAAAAATGATATGCCAGGAACGTAGAGCTTTCAAGCGTTAGAAACATACATGTGTAAATAAGTTTTGGGCTCTAAATTTTATTTGCAGATACTAAGTTTTCACGTTTTCTGTCCTTTTGCAAGACAGAAAAACACGCCATTACCTATTAACTTTTTCTTTTTCTATTTTTCTACCCTTATTTTTTATTTTTTCATTAATTGTACATTGATCTTTTGAAATGGTTTCTTCTTTGTGCGATTTTAAATCATAAAAAATATTCCCGGCGTTGTTTGCTTTCGCATAGCGATCACCATTGAAATTCTGTGTTAGATCTCCTCAGAGCATTAAGTCGACGAAAAGAAAAAAAAAGAGTCATTTGTATTCAGTTGTAAGAATCTAGTATTGAGTGAACGCAAAACATGATGTTCCTTATGTAAATGTAATCAGTGTGTGCAACCCATAGGATCATGACTATACAAAGTTGACTTTTTAGAGCAGGAGCCAAATAAATAGGATTATGCCCCAGAACGATCTTCAAGCATTTATTATTTTTTTCTTTTTTTTTCACCTTTTCTATAGCCTTTTAGGAGTTGCTCTCAGGTATGAATTGTATGGCGTATTGAGTTCCCTTCATTTGCATTTTAATCATTATTTTCAATGTGAGCAGGATTGACTTTACCAGTTAGTTTTTGTAAAGCATTGTTTGCTCGTCTTTTTACACGCTGTTAGCATTGTTAAATCTGATGGGACACTTGATCTGTGTATTTTAGGAGTGTGACGAAGTGGAATGAACGTCCTAAGAACGGTATGACAACCAGCAACGCTCACATTCCCTCGGCGGCGGTGACTGCCGCGGTGGTAGGGCAACACTCGGCGCACCAACACCAACATCGAAAAGTTCCTCACCGGCATCTGGTCACTTACCCGTGGCAGCGGCCTGGACGGCTCCACGCCAATCGCACCCCAGGTCCTACGTTATCGCGGCGTGGCAGGGCGCCGCATACACCCTCGTCCTCGTCCGCTTCCTCTCAGCTCCACAACCGCGTCTCCAGCGTCAAGTCCCTTCAGCCGTTGAGGTCGATCTCTGCCCGGAGGAGAAGACGGAGTCCTTCGAGGAGACAGACGGGAGGAGGCGAGCAGGTCGATTTCACACGTAACCCATTGCTTGAGGACGGCCGCCGTAGTCACGGCGTTAATGAAGCGACAGGGATTTACTCTGCCAGAACAGCAAATATTGATCCCGACTTCAACAGTGAATACAGCACTAGTGTGTTATCTCGCCATGAGGGAAGAGGCGATGTTAATCATAATACTAATAACACTGACGGGAGTGATAGGCCGACGTTAGGGACCCAGCATCACGGCGGCACGGGCAATGCTGGCTATGAAATTACTCATAACAACGTCGGGGAGATCGACCGCTATACTAAGGAATGTGATCAAACATATTTTAATCAAAACGGTAAGCCCCGCACTCCGGGTCTTAACATACAAAGTATACTCGAACACTGCATTTCCTCTAAGAAAGACTCGTTGCGACACCTCGCTAGTCAACAGGCAGACTCGGGCCAGCTCTTGAGGGCACCTGCTGTCCGCAAGGGAGGCGGTATTGGCGGCGAGAAACGTAAAAATACGGCGTCACACGGTACGACCGCTGCAAAAGCGACGGAGAGAATGATTGAGTGTGACGGCGACGCAGAGGGCGTGGGTGGAGGAGTTGATGCTTCTGCGCGAGTCCGCTCACCCGACTCAGCGGCTAAACCTACCGCAACGGTGAGCTGTGCCACGCGAGAGGAGGAAGAGAGACGGGTGGAACAGGAGAAAAATGCCATTGAAGCTGCCATGAAAACCGGTAGGTTTAATTTGAACGTTAATCGTCTTGAGAAAAAGTTATAGTTCTCTCTCTCTCTCTCTCCGGACAGACGCGCATGCAAGGCTTTTAAATCATACATAACATGCTTACTTCTCTACCCAAGAAAATAACAATATGAGGACAAAGTCAAGTCTCAAAACAGCCATGAGAAGTCGTAGACTCTACCTTTGAATGCCCACCAGCAGTATACTGGAGGGGTAGAAATAAGAAAAATAACCAAACAAACACGGTGAACAAGCCGTCGAGGGGGTCCGAACAACAAACCAAATCGTAGTGACCCGTGTTTCGAAAACAATTTCTAATAGTGACCTCTCCCTAAAGAATGGTCTTAAAGTTTCTCTTCAAATGTCCCCTAGACAGGTTCGATGTACCCTGTGTTTCAGAGGACATTCACTTCTCTACTGTGGTGACATGCTGAGAGTATTGAACAGAGAGGTGAGGTTCCAGAGTCTCTGAAAATCAGGGTGCGTCTTAGAGGTGATGCCGTATTCTGAGACCCCTGTATTAAACCTTTATTACTGCAACGGAGTTTGTACTAGATTCTAAAAAATAACGCAGTCATGTATTTGTGAGGTGATAAATTCACGAGCTTTGGGATTAAATGGGGATGGCAACAGTTAATATTTATAAGACACTGCTGACAACTGCAATGCATCAGGGACATTAACTCCTAATCAATGGTTCTGTAGACTTAATACTTCACAAATGATATTTCTGACGAAATCCTGTCGCAAACCAGTGTTCGTCATTTATCCGTCCACTATATTATGTAACGTCGTCTCCTGAAAGAATTTTTCATGGCGAATACTATAGTTATGCATTTATTATCCATTATCCCCCAAAGGTTCTTGTTTACTCTTTCATAGAACAGCATCATTTAAAGGTGCGCTTTTCTATGCTAGAAGGGCCAAGGTCCCCGGGGCCATTGGACACCGGTCCGGTATTGTTATTTTACGTCATCATCAAACGGGCGACGGTAAACAACTTTTTATTCTAAAAAATCGCCGGTATAGGAATTAGAGTATTTGACACCGTGCGCCATACATTACCTCTTACTCTGACACTGAAATTGAGACATTATTACAGCCTTGACACGCTTCAGTTACTTTGTCTTATATTTTGATAAAACATGACACGACCGCGTAGAAAATCGTTGAATGCATTTGACGCAATTGAGGAATTGTCGGAGTGGAAAGTTTCAAAAGGTTACTGTGACGTAATTTTCACCTGCGCGCACTTCAATAATAAATCCAACTATCTGGAAAAGTTAACAGGGTCGCTCCCCGCCGGCTTGTTTAGCGATTATTTATTGCCTGTGTTAATTTGTTCTGCTCGAGTTTCACACCCATTGTAAGGATTTTTTGCCTAATCGTATTTGTATTAAGAACGCTCTTTTGCAAAGGTAACTCTGGTCTAGATATTGGGTCTTAGTTTCTGACACAGGAGTTTTGTTGAAGCATTTTTTTTAATTATTATTGCGCTTTTTCTGTTCGCTGGCTTTCATAAATATTCTTTAAAATTCGACAATATTGAAGTTATGCAAATTGGTAGCTGATTTTAGACGGATATATATATATATATATATATATATATATATATATATATATATATATATATATATATATATCGACTTACTGTAAAGTTGTCTGAGTTGTTCACAGTAAAGTAAAATACAGCGCAGCCACATATACACACAATGAGAGAGAGAGAGAGAGAGAGAGAGAGAGAGAGGGTGTGAATTAGCATAAGTAGCGGTCATAAACCCCTTATTTCTTATTTGTGACCATTTGTGCGTCGGTCGGTCGGTCGGTGAATATCATCGCACAGCGCAAAGCTGAATAATTCGATTTAAGTAATCCTCAAACGAATTTGGTAGATTGTATAATCCCCCTCTGCTACGATAGCTTTATGTCACAAGAGTGACGTTTCCAAGTTCAAGTATTGACTCATGGCTGCCGCCCTATTCACAAACGATAACAAAATACACCAAGACCGTCACTGAGCCGCTTTCCGTTATAACTAGATCAACAAGTGAGCACTGCCTGTTGTGATGGTTGCTATGTATTTGTTGTAATTTCATGGTTATTTGCATGTCTGATCTTTATTCGTGTCCGAAAGGGGGTCTAATTTGTACTGTGTCCTTTAATATCAGCAGTATTTTAGAGTAATAATAAAATATATTTATCCAGGTTTCATTTTCGGCTCAGTGAACAGTGTTATTTTATAAAGATGGGGCGTGGTGGAGGGGGGCAGCGTAGAATAGGCAGATAAGTTCTTTTAATATTTGTTGCTCTGTCTTATCGCGATGTTCTGCAGTGAAAGCAACTGCAGTGGAAAAAACAAGCCAATTTTTTTATAAAGATACATCAAAGGAATACACATAGCAATGATTTAGTATTTTATGACTGGTTTTGTAACTACAAGTACTTCACATTTTAGCCCCCCTATCCCCCCCTCCCACACATACACATAAATAAACTTTTAAAAAGAAAAGATATCAGCACCTATAAACCGAAAGCTGTTGTTTATTGAGATGGATGAATGTAATGCAGTAAAATAGGTTTTTATTGGTGAAGGCTAACAGTATACTTACATGCAATCACTCACTAACAAGACGGAATGGCCATTTGGATACTTGATGTCTTTATGGATAGGCTTACTATATAAAAGAAAATATTAGGGGGAGGTTCCACCGAGATTTGAACTCGGATCGCTGGATTCAAAGTCCAGAGTGCTAACCATTACACCATGGAACCCGACGGTGTGCAAAGATAATTAGAAACTCTTTTCTCATCAGTGTCTCGCTTCTTATCTGTGGGAATCGTTCCAGAGAGCAGACATAAAAGTAACGTCTTGTGCCGGGGTAAGCTTTTATCTAGAATTAAAATTTCATCACGTAAAGTGTATTCATTTCAAGAAGATAATTTGATAAGATAATGGCATATAAGCTAAAAGAAGGAGAAAAGTTCCATTTTTTTTTTTTGCAAAAGGTTCATAATTGGCGAACAAACGACTGGGAGAATAAAAGTATTTTTGGTTATTCCGGTAACGTTCCTCTTTTGGATAATAAGTTAATTCAGGACTGGCTTATTCAACCTGCAATCTCCCAGAAATATATAGTTGAACCGTAAGCTACACATTTACACCATACTTGATTCCTTCATTTAATTATGTACTACATTTTGTACCTATGCCCGCGTCTTCGCACAGGTGAACAAGAACTCGCCATACCCGTCTTATCTCCTACCTTAAGTGGCGAGCGACAAAATTAATTAAATTAGGCGCTTAACGAGATAAGATAAGGGACTTGGCGTGGTAAGCACTCACCGTGGCAGGTCTGAGATATACGGCCCGATCAATTAATCTGGATTGTCAGTAATATTTACTTTATCAACAAGACAACAATGGTTAGAAATGAATATGGAGAACAAGATATCACAGGACTGTTGGACGTCGCACTGGTGGCAAAAAAAAAAAAACCTTTCACTGTTTGCTTATAATAATAATAATAATATTAATAATAATAATAATAATAATAATAATGGATAGATATATGAAAACAAAAAGAAAACAAAAAATGTAATAGAGTTAAACATAATTTTCTGAATAATATTGATGAATAAAGTCAACCCCACCTCTCTCTCTCTCTCTCTCTCTCTCTCTCTCTCTCTCACACACACACACACACACGCGCGTGAGGGGGGGGGGAGAATAACGCATGAATAACGCATGTCAACACGAACTGAAAACTCCTCCACCAATGCTCAGAAAAGGAATAATTGCCGAANAGTAATTACGCCGCGGGATATTCAGTGCACAGACCGTGATCATAAGACATACCGAAAATAGAAAATAGAAAATAGACATTGCATGTGAACGAAGCCTAAAAGTATTTTTGGTTATTCCGGTAACGTTCCTCTTTTGGATAATAAGTTAATTCAGGACTGGCTTATTCAACCTGCAATCTCCCAGAAATATATAGTTGAAGCGTAAGCTACACATTTACACCATACTTGATTCCTTCATTTAATTATGTACTACATTTTGTACCTATGCCCGCGTCTTCGCACAGGTGAACAAGAACTCGCCATACCCGTCTTATCTCCTACCTTAAGTGGCGAGCGACAAAATTAATTAAATTAGGCGCTTAACGAGATAAGATAAGGGACTTGGCGTGGTAAGCACTCACCGTGGCAGGTCTGAGATATACGGCCCGATCAATTAATCTGGATTGTCAGTAATATTTACTTTATCAACAAGACAACAATGGTTAGAAATGAATATGGAGAACAAGATATCACAGGACTGTTGGACGTCGCACTGGTGGCAAAAAAAAAAAACCTTTCACTGTTTGCTTATAATAATAATAATAATAATGGATAGATATATGAAAACAAAAAGAAAACAAAAAATGTAATAGAGTTAAACATAATTTTCTGAATAATATTGATGAATAAAGTCAACCCCACCTCTCTCTCTCTCTCTCTCTCTCACACACACACACACACACGCGTGAGGGGGGGGGGGGAGAATAACGCATGAATAACGCATGTCAACACGAACTGAAAACTCCTCCACCAATGCTCAGCAAAAGAATAATTGCCGAGAAAGGGTAACTCTCCCTAGGTTTAAACCCCCCCACCCACCCNCCACCAATGCTCAGAAAAGGAATAATTGCCGAAAAAGGGTAACTCTCCCTAGGTTTAAACCCCCCCACCCACCCACCTTCTCCTCGGACCCTCATCACGATACCCTGCGACCATCACGGTATTTCACTGCTTCGTCGATCCACGTGTTTAAATGAGTGGTATTAAGAACGTAACGGGCTTGGCACTCGCAGGGTGCTTATTTATCGACCTCTGTGATAAATGCACCGGTTCCGAGTTATTAAATTTTGTATTTGTCGTTTTCGCTGGCATGTGCCAATTTTAAATCCAATTAAAATCAATAACACAATTCACCTTTGACTTGTGTAAGCGCTTTGTATGAGAACTAGCTGTCCTTCACCTCGGAGTGAGGAGCTTGTTAAATATTTGTATTATTGGACTTGAGCTGATTTGAGAGTAGAGTATTGTGTTTAATATTTGTAGTAATAATTTTAAAATCTACTCGTGCATTTCATCTCTCTCTCTCTCTCTCTCTCTCTCTTTTCACAAACAGATGCGCACGTCACACACGTCTCTAAAACATAAATTGATATGCCTCTTTTAATTTTCAGCGGGCAAGTAAATAACAATATCAGGGCCAAGTCAATTCTTGAAATTGAGAGAGAGAGAGAGAAATTTAAGTGACGTTAGAGATGTATACATATTAAATTCTATACCGTCGCCTTCAGCATCAGATAAGCAGAGAGCTATGATGACTTTTTGCCCACGCAATGGATAAAATAATAGTTTCTATATTTAAATTTACATTTTAATTTAATAGACGTGTTTGAAATATTTCAAGACTTTATTTTTCTCTTTTTATCCCTAGGATCGGCTGAAAGCGAGGGGACGCTTCTGTCCATGCACTCATGTCCAGAAGCTACGACCGGCCAGGCAGAAAAGCCTCCCAGGTATCACCGAAGAAGGAAGAAGAAAACGCCCTCCTCGGAAAGACGCTGTCCTCCTCGTAAACAGAACATTTGGTCTCGGCTGTCAGTAGAAGCCCAGTGCGCGATGACACAGACAATGGAGGCGATGGAACTTGATGACAAAGATGACAGGAATTATACCGATCGACAGACGGTAGAGAATACCAATCGAGACGATGAGAATAATCAAAATAGTTTAGAACGCTTTGAAAAGGGGCAATATTATAACGAAAGTGCCAAAGTGGGGACTCAACGAGAGAACCCTGCAGTATCGGATGAACAAACCATTGGTGTAAACAACAATAGCGATGGCAATGCACTGAGAGCGACAAAGGAACAACCTTACGCAAATGTTGACTTTGTGCAGAAAAATATACAGAGTAAACGACGTCACAAAAGTGAGACTGAATCAAATACCTCCGGTGAAACCCCCGTCACCTCTCGCCAAAGAAATAATTCTTTTGGTTACAATGGCCGCGAGCACAAAAAACCACAAGGGGCTCCCAAACAGGTGGTGCATTGGAAAGAATACAATGACGGCAACAACAATAAAAGCCGTAACAAATCAGCCAGAACTAAACTTCCAAAGATTGGCAGCGATTCAAAGCTCTCTCAACAGGTTAAGACGGACAGTGGCCCTGATTTTTCGCAGGAGGCAGACGACTATTACAATAATGAATTTGCTGCCGTCTTGCCAACGCGCAGGCGCGAGCGACAAGAAGCATTTGACGACGATTATTATAGCCCGTCTTTTACGCAACACGCCATTCCTGGTGTTGGAAATTTCACGGTGCCGCGGTATCATTTTCGAGAGAAGACTTTTGAGATTACCCCTGCTGGTTATGACTCAAGATATCAATATACGCACAAGTACAACCCGGAGGAGGATGATCCGATCAACCCGAAGGTTTTCTCTCACTCAGTAAAGAAATGCAGCGATTGGTTGACTAAATGTTTACCGGCAGCAGACGACCCCAACGTGTCGGGAACTAAATTGAAACTTTCGCAAAGTTCTCATTTCTGATATCGAGTTCTTCCATTTATAAATGACAAAATGAAAAATATGCCATATTAACCGCCTAAGATGTAAGATGAATTGAAACGGTCCAAGCGCGCACAAGGATTGAAATATAACATTTTTTACATTTGTACCTGAAGATCTCTTCATATTAACCCCTAGACGCGTTTTAAACGCTATGTTTTAATTTCTATCATCTCTCATCTATTACTGATCTTGATCATTTTTGTTTTTCATTCTTAGGAAATCATTATTAAATCATCATTTCTATTCCCAGTGCCATTGAAAGATTATTTTAGCTTGGAATCTATTTTTCCAGAAATATGAAATGAAATAAGGATCAATTTTTATTATTTTTTATTCCAAAAAACTGTCAGAAATCGTCTGTCAGGGATTGGTTTCACAAAATGATTTGAGCCCGAAAATGGATCTGAACCTTCTAGTCTTACCTCAGTTCTAGTTGAATCAATAGTGCATCAATTAAATAGAATTAATATTGCCCTGAAACACAAGCAGCGTACGACTTGTTCGAAAAAGGGCACAATATTTCATTTTAAGAAACTGCTATGGTTTATCTTGAGTCTTAAATTTTAGGCTAAACTTTAGGCTAAAATTGTTTTTTGAAAGATGACAGATTCCCCTACATCGACTGCACAGAAACAATACCGCCAAAGCCTTACATCTTTAAGAGTGGGCTGCCACAGATTTAGATCGATCCATCTGGATCGACCTAACTCCCTGGGGGTTCACGCTAAATTGCTGTCAGCTTCTGGGAGCCGAGAGCGCACTAAAGTTAATTACCACCTTTCAGCTTTTAGTAGGCGGGACAGACATTTAAGCCGATTAACCTGACAGCAATCTAGTGAGACTCCCGAGGGGGATAGATCGATCTAAATATTTGTGGGAATGGTCTCTAAGAATCCACATGTATACAATAGAATATCTAGAGGTACCGAAATCAGTACCTCCCAATTTCTTATGTCTCTTCTGTGCAGTTCATCAAACTATTTATTAATTGATTATTGTTATTTTGTTTGAGTTCTTGGTTCAAATGCAGTTCTGCATGCACAGGCAGTTGATTTCGCACCCGTTTAATCACCAGCATAGATTTAAAAGAAAATTAAAATAATAATTTTGTAATTTCCCCACATTTTTTCAAATGCGAATCGTTTTCATTTTTGTGTACTAGATGAGCATAAGACAGACCTCCAGCCAAAGGCTATTTTAAAACAAATCTCTTTAAGTGACTTCTTTAGAGTCTCTAAGTTTTATATGTAAATTTGTCGTGTTGATAAATGTGCGTTTGTGCTATTTCCATGCTATCTTAAATTTATTTATTTTATGTTTGATAAACAAAGTATCATTTATAAGCCATTTCTTTATTTTTCTGAATAAACATGTATAAGGAAGTCTTTAAACAGTATGCAGTTTTCAGTTGTTTTACTTATTTCGTTTTCATTTATTTAAAAAGATCGAAGCAACGCTTGAAAATATGAAGTCCCTATAAAGGTCGAGTAGAAACAACGCTTCCATTTTTTATATTATTTGTTCACCTTCAAATTCTAAATTCATATTATTAAACATATATAAAGTCAATTTTCGCCAGCAATCACCGGTTTAAATTCGCCCGACCACAATTCAAATATTTTTGTCAGATTTATATTTATATCATTTCGAAACATCAGTGACCTGCTGCCGACCTATTTGCACTTTACAGATCCAACTGATTGCGACCGCTGTCTGAACGTATTGTGACACTTGTCACCGCTAACGCATTCTACTTTCAAGCCCTCATAAATGTACGTTGTTTGAAATTCATACTTCACTAACACATATAATAGATGGTCCCTAAAATGCCAAATCAACAGACAGAAGATCTATCTTTATCTAAACCTTTCATATTTGGGAAGGGGTGACGTAAAGTTTAATTGTGCATCCTATTCCAAATATCTCACATCCGCAGCATAGATTATTATCCATATTTTGCTTCATTTGTTTGCCATCGTGTTGCTCTACATGTAAGAGATCTTATCAATTTTGGTATCTATATCGCTTACATTTTGACGCTTTTACTTCTTTGTATATCGAATAAAATTAATGAGAGTCAAATAAACAGGGAGAAATTGATGTGTCGTTTAATTTTAATTCAAATCACTTACCACACGTTCTAATTTTTTGTTAGAGTAACTACCAAAACGCGGGCACTCCTGTCACATGACCAAGAAGAAGGATCACTTTGTTCTAAACCGATCTTAATCTAATAAATTCTCATTTCTAAATTTTAAAGCTCATTCGAATCCAAATATATTTACAAAACAGCTCTTCTTCAGAAACATATTTTACGTCTTAAAGCTAAAACTGATGACCTTTGCCAGCACGCCCCTGGTGTTGAAGATAGTCATTTTGTAAACAGTAGGCCTACATATAGTATATCTGGCTAAATTACAATGTAAACCCATATGTTGTGCCAGGACTTGGGCGTATGCGGCGAGGGCGGCGTATGTTACGCGGTTTGTGGAGGTTCTTGCAGAATTCCGTGCATTTGTGGGTAGAAAAGAACGCCTCCATGCCCTCAGGCCCAAGATCAGCGTTGCCGTATTTTCCTGCCTCGTCGGAATGAATTGCAGGGTCCGTCAGGAGATACTCGTCGTCATCCCGAACCCCTTGAATGTCGCAGACTAGGTATTTCCCACCACTGTGAGCCCACGTCCAGTAAGAAAAGGCATGGATTAGGGATACATTCATGTTAGGGTTGACCCAACCATTATTTGCGTTAAACTTCTGATACGTGCCAGTCAAAAAAGGCTCCATGCATACGTATTCGTTTGGAAAAACTATTTTAGCTGAATCTTCGTCAGGAATGTCGAAAATCCAGAGTAACTTAAAGCCCGCCCTCTTCTCCATTTTGGCTTTTACATCTCATATTACGACACCAAATTATTACAAAACAATGCAGATGGAAATACCCAAGAGCTTACCTTAAATAATGACCGTAAGAACCAAGGAATGCCGACTGTCAATAGCGATGGTTGTTCTTTAAGAAGAACCAACAAACAAAACCGTCTTCGTTTTTATACTGCTTTGTCATGGAATTGCCACGAAGATTTTCTGTTGTTTACTCATTCTAATTCCTCACTCTAGTGTTGTAAAAAGCTTGTGAAACCCATACGTGCTGTGTCTAGATCGTGACTTTCAATAACTATCAACCAATACATACGTTCTTAGGCGAATAAAATGTTAGGCTATATATGTACCGTACGTCACAGGTCTTGCGTAACTACCCACGTGCTACGATTTTTCCCTTGGGGGGCAGCAAACGGACATTTTGTACAGGAGCAATGCAAAGATGGGTGAAAACGATACGCTGTTTTTAACCGAAAACGATGTCCCCGGGGCGAAACTGCCAACACCAAAAGTAAAGGAGCATACCAACGTTGTTTTGAAACGATGTGGTTAGCCTGTCAGTGGCGAGTTGGGGAAAAAAGAGCAGCACTGATAGCAAGATACTGTGTACACGTGAACCGGCAAAGTTAATGATAATTTCATGTTGCAAAAGCATAATTAAATCAGTTAGTTGTTTTCCAAACGATGTTATTTGAATAGCAGATACACAGAAACTAACAACAATAAAAAATTTTGATGACATTGAAAATCAAAACCTGCGGGGCACGATAGGTTGAGAAGGACACTGCCACAGCAAGTACATGTAATGCATGAATTTTGTTACATAACACCATATGCTTGTGTCGTTGTTAGGTCTGTGGTGTTATTACTGCTCAAATTAATACCTGATACTATTTCTCAGCCTACCAAGTACAAATCAACTTATTTTGTGGCAATTGACCTCCATGTTCCATCATGTGTGCAGGTTGTTAATTATTATTATTATTTGTTCAAGCACATTTTGATAAAGTGACTATGCTTTAACAAGAGAAAGTCAAAATTTATGCTGAAGTTTAAAAGATTAAATCATCAGTATTATATACAATTAAAGCTTTTTGATTATGCATATTTGATTTTCAGTTATCTTGATTATGAAAAAGCTTCCTGCCTTTTTCTCTTGCCCTCAAATCAATATATAACAAGTAAATTGATAGTGCTTTATTACAATTTTGGCTTTATACTTTCAGATGCAAAAACTGTGTAGCAGTTGGTAAAGCTGTAGAGATTGATGTGAGCATAGATCAGGGGGAATGGTATTAGAGAAACTAGGAGGACAAGACATAGATAATGTACTAGTAGATCCATTATCACAGCAAGGGTAGATGGTGTGATCTTGTCCCTGAAGCTGTGCCTCAAGTTTTCAACTGGTTGAGTCCTTACTAAGACAAGCTGCTGCGATGTGAATTGCAATATGTACATTCATGTCTTGATTGCTGTCACGCAGACTTAGACTGGACCTGCTAAGTGGCAGTGCCTGAGCAGTTATGCAAACAATTACCAGCCATGTAATCAACCTTGGGATTTCTGTACAGGGTGACTTCAGCTGAAAATGACAATCTATCTAGCTAGAGACATATCTGTGAATATCCGTAAAAATCTATCAGTCGAGGGTACATGAAGCCCGTGAGATCTACACGGTGGGCGCGTGGAAGTGCGGAGTGAGCACGGAGTGAGCCAAAAATAAGCGCTGTGGGAAAAATAATTTTTTGATATGTCCTGTACTACAGGCACACGACAGGCGAACGTGTTCCATTTTTTTAGATTATGTAGACTACACGAAGCGGCTGTTGATCATGTCGAAAATTTTCTACGTGCTGTCTGCGCCCTCCAAAAGTTACCGTAGACCAGATGTAGCAGCCCGCACGTTGGGTTGCGACCCAGGTTTAAGATCGCACACAGAACATGCTCGAAAGCATCGCCGAGGACGCCATGGTAGCTGCAAAGTGAGCATGTCCAAAACAATCGTACAAAGGACGCGGTAGAGGTTGGTCACTGCTAAGTCGCTCAAGGGACGAAGAAAGGACGCACAACCACCGTTGTGGTCGTAGGCACAAGCATCGCTTTGGTTGCACAATGAATGCTCAAAGATCGTCCTGTATTTAGCGAGTTTATTACAATTATTATTATTATGATTTTGTTATTATTAATAACTCTCAAACAGGAATTTTTCGCCATAGACGGGAATTCTGCTGGTAACAACTGCCAGTGGTCTCATATCAGCCTCTAATTGCTTTTTTTTAATTTAAATTTAATAAAACGAATTCTTTTTTACAAGATGCTGTTTTTGTCGCAATTTTTTGCAGAATTGTCGGTTGAAAGCGGATTCAAACATTCTATGTATTCTTTTTCGTTTTCGGCGCCTGTCTATCGTTCTTATTAGGACAAAAGTGATCTTCTAGCTTATTATCAGTCCATGCAATCCTTGCATATAGTACTGTAGTTAAAAAAGGTTACTCCTAATTATTTGTTTTGTTTTCTCGAAATGTTCTTAATTGGGTGACACGGTTAGAAGTGATGGAAAAAAATAATAAAAGAGAATATATATCGAAGGTCGCCCAAACAACGCTCATCGGTCAAGCAGAAGGCAGAAAGATCGCAGAATGGTCGCCACTGATCACCGATGAAATCCCCCTTTACACTGAAGGGCGTCCTTTCTGCGTCTTTTGTAAGACCATAGAGCTGCTGTGGCCGAAGAAAGGATGCACAAGCATCGCTTTGGTTGCAAAATGAATGCTCAATTATCGGCCAGTTGTCGGCACGTAAAGTATTTTTTTACTCTCAAACAGGGCCACACTACAGGACGCAGAAAGGACGCCGCCCAGTGTAAAGGGAACTGAAGGTACAGAGAATGCTCGATGGTCGCTAATCATCGAAATGGACTCCGTGGATTGCACAGGGGACGCACAGGGGAGGCAGGCCGGTCGCTCAAAGGACGCAGAGGTCGCTCGCAGTTTTACAAGTAAAAACAAGATTCGGTCGTTCACAGGACACACAACGCCTTTACACTGAAATACGATTTGCGTTGAACGTTCTGGGCCCCGTATCTCGAAAGCATCGCGCAATGCGACCGTGCGCAAGCGTCTCGATTCCTAACTCGTCCCATATAATACATTGTAGCCTCTATTTGATATAGCGATTCGTAATACGCGATGCTTTCGAGATACGGGGCCCTGGCCGTTGAGCGTCCTGACCCATTTTTGATTGCGAAGGGACGCAGAAATGACAACGTGCACTTTACATATTAAAGCAAAGTAAATCTGGAAAACATATCATTTGCTTATCTGCCCTGCCCTGAGTGTCAGGGCCACTGTGGAGCTAAATTGTTGACTGTCCAAAGCTGTTCACGGGCTTCAACAGTGACCCTGAGGAACAGCGACAGTGTACGATTTCCGTCAATCAAAAGAACTGCTCCCCAGTGAATCTGCAGTTGAATGTCTTTAGACCAAAATGAAACGTAAAACAGATTTAATTCGGCTTTATTTAATTTTATTTACTGTTGTTAAGATGTAAAGTGAAAAATAAATAATTTTTCTAAAAGAAAAAGATATATCTAATGTTTTTGTATTTTTTGCTTATCAAAAAAAATTGCTCCTGAAGATATAAACACAATACACGTGCTTGCCGCGTGCCAAGTTTGACAGCTACACTGTATGCCCGATACCACTATAAGGGCTGCGCAATGGCTACACCAAAATCAGTTTTTTAAAGCATATTATTACTTGTGTTGTGGTACTGACCTTCGACTGCAATATATTCTAAGTTAAAACTACAATATATGCTGACAGAAAAAAAGCTTAAGTTCAATACGAATTGTCAGATCAAGCCAATATCCCCAAAAATCATGGCAAAACGCAAAGATGTAACTTAAAGCCCATGGCATATGCCCCAAAATTCCCAGTTGCCTTCGTAGTTCACACAACAGGCGCTTGATGACTAAACACAAAAAAAGGTGAAAAGGTGAAGTGCTGGGTAATTATTTACATTAAGTTACACAAGATTTAGTGACGTCGTTAATTATTAATTGATAAAGGTGGTGTTTCTCGTATTGGTGAACCTACGAAGTATATCGTCGGTAATGTAATTGACCTTAAAATCGGAACTTTCCGTCGCCTTTGGACTTGGGAGTGTCTGAAATGTAACAGCTGGTTCAGCTAGATGATTCTAGATCTTACATTGTACACAGGCATGGTAAACACAAGAAAAACTCATGCAACCTCGGTTTAAGGTTAAATGGTTTCGTTAATAATTAATTGATTTGTTGATAATTAATTTGTACAGGTAAGCCTAAACCCCAGATTTTGACCCAATAAGGTCAGGCTGGCCCTTACCATAACTAACTAGGGGGGACTTTCTGTTACACGGTTCCTTGGTCTCGTTACACCCTTTTTTTAATAATGGACCACAGTGAGAGATAAAACTTTAAATCATATATTCTAAAAAAATCTTTTCGACGTTTTTACATCTCCAAAGACTCAGATAAAGAAAAAAGCAGAAATTCTTCCCTTATAGCATGAAGACAAAGAAAGCATCCCGGATTGAGAGCCATATCCAAGCTTATGCTGATTAAAAGTTTTTGAGGTAAGTCGATACAAACAGAAAAAAATTCATTGACATTAGAATAATTCCCTGAATATCATTTTTACATGCGTTAATATGCATTGACATTCGGCTGCACAAGTAGTTATATAGCTTATCTTGTGTCTACCCATGATTACGGCGTTTTTTTTCGGTTAATTCGGCTAGCGACACAAACGAACGCTAGTGAAGTACGTTACAGACATTGAAGCATTCCATCTTTTGTTGTTGAATAAAAAGGGAATTTTAAATATTATAATTTTAAATAATGAAATGATCCAAGTCCATTTCACCTGTCGCACTAAATTCAAACCATGGGTTCACAACACTAATATAGTGATAGCAGTATTTACTTTGGCACAAGCTAGTTTGTTACTCTACGAGGC